TCTTTTTTTTTCTTTAACATTTTTTAAAATTGAGTTATAGTCATTTTACAATGTTGTGTCAAATTCCAGTGTAGAGCACAATTTTTCAGTTATACATGAACATACTTACATTCATTGTCACATTTCTCTTTGGCTGTGAGCTACCACAAGATCCTGTATATATTTCCCTGGGCTACACAGTACAATCTTGTGTATCTATTCTACATTTTGAAATCCCAGGTACAAACTATTCTTTATAAAATAAGTTACAAGGATATATTGTACAACACAGAGAATATAGCCTGTCCTATATAGAATATTCTATATAATATGGATATATTATAATATTTTATAATAGCTATAAATGAGTATAGCCTTTAAAAATTGTGAGTCACTATATTGTACACCTGTAACTTATATAATATTGTACATCAACTATACTTCAATTTAAAAAAATTAAAAATTAATTCTAACACTATAATAAATAAAAGAGTGTAATACCAGTATCTGAATAGACAAGTGCAAAAGTGGAAGTAAAGAGGAAGTCCAAACCCAGATGGATGTTTATAAGATAAAGATAAGATTTCATTTCAGTAGGGAAAGGACAGGCTATTTGATAAATGGTATTTGGATAATTGGCTTCTTTTTTTTTTTTAGCAAAAAATACAGTTGAATTCCCTTCCTTGTTCTTTGCTTTAAAATAAATTTCATATTGAATACGTATTTAAAAGAAAAAATTAAAAGAGAATATAGAATATTACTTTTACTGTTTCAGGATGGGGAAGCCTTTCTACTCTTGACAGCAAAAGCAATAAAATAAGATGCTGATAGATTTGATTATACGGAGGGTACAAATCCATGCTGTAAAAATTATTATTCTGAAACAATGAAAAGAAAGATGTCAAAGCGGGATTTTTTTCACCTTAAAAATGCATAAGGAGTTAATATTCTCTATACAAAGAACTCTTAAAAATCAGTAAGAGAATGAATAGTCTAATTGTAAAAAATGGCAAGCAGACAATTTACAAAAATGAGAGCAAGTAAATATATGAAAAAAGTTGATATTCAGTTAAAAAATGCAAAATGAGGTATCTTTCTCCCTAACAGATTGGCAAAGATTAAAAAGTAAAACTGCGCAATGCTTATCAAAGTATAAAGTAACTTACTTGCATACACCACTGGTTTGAGTATAAATTAGTACAACTTTCCTGGAAGGCATTTTGACCATCCCTACCAAAAGCCTTAAAATGCAAGCAAGTCCTTTGACAAAGTAATTCCATTTCTAGGAAAGAATTTATCCTCACCAGATAAGGGAAGAGCTTCAAGTTAAACACAGTGGATTGAAACAAATGGATTTAACTCTGCCCCCTCCTGAAACCCCGCTAGACTGATACAGAGTTAAAAGAGAAGTGTAAAGTAAGGAGGAGATGACAGTGAGACAGAGTTGTCAACATAGCTTTGGACGTTAAAAATGGATGAATGAGCAGAGTACGGCAAATTGAGCACATGCATTTAATTTTGCGCTCTTCCAAACATCCCAATAAAGCTACAGTAGAGGGATTGTTCAAAAAGGCTTGAACCCACCAGAGTGGGGAGAATGAGAGAAGAGAAAGGAGGAACACAA